TATTATCAGTAATCAACCTCCCCAGGACAAAAGCACTTTGATTTTCTGCTCTGATATAAGATCTGGCAATAATTTTTTAAGCCCATTAGCCATAATCCTAGATTTTGATTTATAAACGACATTGCAAAGACTAGCGTGTGTGTGTTTGTGTTACTATCTTTACTTATTTTTATTTGCAATTTATTTAAGTAGGTTATTCAAAAACATGAAACCAGTGTGTGTGTTTGTGTTACTAGACAATTTAATCAAATTAAAGATAAGTAAGCACATATCAATCAATCCTCGTGGATCCAACACTCTTATCACTTTATTAATTGTTTACGGCCCTTGAACTTGCGGAATTGCCTCGTGGCAAACAACGAGCACATGCCTTGGTGGCTTTAATCTAAGCACTTCTCTTGGCTTATTCGTTCACTGTCCACTGCCCAGATCATCATCCAGCCCCTTAAACCACTTGCAACGTCCAGCAAAACATCCTCCATTCTTTTCACGTTGTAGGAATTGGTTCAAATTATTAACCAAAAATTGAAAAATGAAAAGGTGTGTAAAAGTGGAAAATGAAAAGGTGTGACTACATGTCAATTTCGACCAAATATTCGGACTTGATCCGATGGTCAAATTACAAAATTAAATAGACCAATTTATTCTACTTGTCGAGTAGATCGTCGTTGTATATTTGGAATCTCGAAACCAGTTCCGGATGAATGAGAAATTTCAGACCAAAGTTGGAAGAAATAAAGTGTTGCAACTTTTCGAAAAGATGTAGGTTTTGACCAAGTGTTGTAACTTTTTTGAAAGGATGCATATTTTGGCCCACACTATTTCATTTGCATCCTTTCTACATCTATAAATAGAACCCTATGGACATGATTTTGGGTACACCAATTGCATTGAGCATTCATTCTCCTTTTGCAATTCTCTCATTTCTAATTCCATAGCATTTCATACATTTCCTTTGTAGAGCGAAAATTCTGTCAAAAGTTCGTCGGTTTATTGTGGTTTGAAGTGCTGCTACCACAAGTTGTGAATTCACTGTATCTTGGGAGACAAATGCCATGCACCGTGAGCACCGTAGTGGGGCAATTTATCTTAAGGAAAGAGATAACGTCTCGCCTTAGATTATTCTCTATTTCTATTCCTTCTTAATTCTTGTTTTGTGTAATCTTTATACCAAAACTCTGTCCAAATTTTCATTCATATAAATTGTTTTTGATATCACTCTTGCGGGTTAAAACTGGTCAAACAAATATATAAAAAACCAACCCTTATATAGCCCTTTTTATAAGTCGTCTCCAACACACCTGCCAATGAAACTGTCCTATTTCTCTAGCACCAAATCACCCATAAGATGCAGGCCAACTCCCTCGAGGTGAACTTCTGAATAAAACCCGAAAAAGTTTCAGCATTGAAGAAAAATAAATATGGTGACAATGGGAGACCCTGTCAGAGACCTCTCGACGGCGGCCGCAGAACACACCCTGAGTGTATCCATTAATGAACAAGGCAAAGGAATATGTGGATATACTGTTAAAGATCAAGTCCAGCCATTTCTTTGAGAACTCCGTACATTCCATGACCATTTATAACAAAACCTCACTCTACTATATCATATGCTTTGCTTGTATCCAACTTTACTGCCATAAAATCCTTCTTCCCATCGCACTGTGTGTTCATACAAGGCAAGCACTCGTAAGCCACAACTGTATTATCAGTAATCAACCTCCCCAGGACAAAAGCACTTTGATTTTCTGCTCTGATATAAGATCTGGCAATAATTTTTTAAGCCTATTAGCCATAATCTTAGATTTTGATTTATAAACGACATTGCAAAGACTAGCGTCTTCAGGGTGAGATTTCTTAGGAACAAGCAAAATGTTGGTAAAATTTAACGGCAGACCAGAATTCAAGATATCGTGAATACCTTGGTAATATTGTGCTCAACCTAGGACCAGCAATGCTGTAGGTACGGAAAAAATTTCACAGAAATCATACAAATAGACAGTTGACAGATTATTATTAAAGATGACAAAAACACAAACAAAAAGCAGCCATATAGGTGCTGCATACAAATTCTGACCAGGCACCTTGGCATCAGTGCCGCCTCATCTCTACCACTGAACTAATAGCCCATCGTGCGAGCCTTCGACTAGGGGCCCGCTATGCCAAAAGAAAGAGAAATCCCATCCCTCTCTTTCATTTTTTCGCCTCCATGTCGCCCTATGGATGGCATATCTGGAAACTCCAAATTATCATCCGATAAATGAATTGATGCCCTTTGTACTCATATTTAGCACCTGTTTGAGCCTCTTTTTTGGGTAAAAAAATGCATTTTAAAATAGTAGATTGATAGAGGAATGTGTGATTAAAAAATATTAAAAAATATTGAGTTTAAGTGTAATATTATTTTGTTGAACAATGTGCGGTTGAAAAAAAGAGAAAATCATTTAGAAAATAATGGGGATCAAACAAGGCATAATTGCTTCAAAGATGATCCTACTTTCAATTTAACAAAATATTAGTTTGTGTACCGCTCAAGGACGGCTTTTAGAATTTCGTCCGTATTTTGGATTTTTAAGAGCGTGGCCAACAATTAAGAATTATATTCCCTAGTAATGAGAATCTGACTCCATGAGAAATTGAACAAAAAGCCACACAAAATTGAGCTTTTTTGAATTCGCTTACATATCATGTGATCAGTGCCACATCCAAATAAGAGATGAGAGTTACATTTTCGAATTTTCAAAACTCTTTTATCAAGCACATTTATTTCTACTTCATCGTCGTTTATAAACTTGCGACTTCATTATGTTCCAAAACATAAGAGTAATGCTATTTGCAGTCGCTCACTTTGGTAGTTGCCCTACGTGGCATACACATGGCAGATGATTATTTGATGTATTAATGTGATATTTTTTTATTTATTAATGCATCAAATAATCACCTGTCATGTGTATGCCACGTAGGGCGACTATCACAGTGAGCGATTGTCAATAGCATTATTCACAAAATAATGTAAATTTCGACCTAAATGGCGGGCGAGCAAAGCTGAATTTTTTCGGAAGAGCTGACTTAGTGACTCATGATAGTTTTGGAATGAACAGAGAAACGAGTACACTCACGCTGGGCCAAAACCAATAGCTCAACCCATTAACACCCCTACAATATCCATTTGACTCCAGAAGAAAGTTTCTTGAGACTTAAAGTGTGATTTTTCTTTCACTCACACTTCCCATTTTACGAATTGCTGATTTTAATTAAGTAATTTTTTTTAAAAATAAATTTATAATTAGAACATAAACAGCCCGGTTCTCACTTTTCCGCCCCCATTAACATCAGAATAAGTAGAATTGATACCTCCAAGTCTCGAATATTTTCGCCAACCGAGTTAGATGTACACAATTTTTTTCACAGAAGACAGAAGTGCTTCAGAACTCTCACAGCAAAGGTCGGTAGGTGAATTTTTTGCCAATTTTTTTATCACCACATGGGGCACTTCGCATGAGTTCTCCGGCTCCGCAGAGTTCTATACAAGGGGCTTCAGCCTTTCACCAATATAACATTATTCGTACAGAAAATAACTCCAATCACTAATCTAAAATTTTCAAATGCAAAATTCTAGCGTTTAACTATAAACAAAGAAAACAACTTAAATTAATAAATATATTAAAGAACAATTATTTCAATTTCACGTATAATAAGAATAAACTATAGTGAAAAATAATTATCTATTAGTTTATAAATAATAATCACGAATTTATGCTCTCTTATTTATTCACCATATTTACAGCTTTATATGTTTACTGAATATCTAGATTCTACACTGTTCAAATTTCATTTAACCACCACCCTTCAACCCAGCACCACCTTAAGTTTAATCTACACATGACAAACTAATGAAACTTAATATGTACAAGAGAACCATATAATGAACAAATTACTCCTTTGTTATCAAATTTGCATACCAAGGGCCATGAACACTAACAGAAACCTTGGCCACTGCCACCAATACTGAGGCTGCAGCCACCACTTCATCAAGGAGCAAAGCCGCCCCCACTTTCTGCAATGCTGCTTCCGCCAGTTCTCTTCCATGTTTACCGGTTCCCCCAAGTACGACCCCTCTGGTAGCCAAATATATTGCACGAGAAACCATGTTAAAAACAGCATCCTCTTGCTCCAGATTTTTGGCCAACATTCTCGCCATGATTTCCTCCATTGACTCGAGCTTCATGCCGCCAATTGACTTCACCACAGCTTCACAAAGTACTGCAATGATATCTGGGATGCTGGCATCCTTGTCAGAGTCGAGACGTGCAGAAAGGTTTTTGACGCTGCTAGAAAGAAGGCTTTCCATGCCTGCTTGGCTGGTTACCATTCGCTTACTCACTAGAGCCTGTCGCAAGACTAGAATGCTGCAATCGGAGTAGTTGCATTAGCTCAAGGACAACGGAGATGACAATGTTGGACAGTGTAAAGGCCTAATAATATTGTGCATTCAGATCATTGTATTGGGTGGCCCAAGTATCCTATGCTATATACAGTAAACTTTGGGGTTCGCGTGCACAGGGACAAGGGGTGGGGAGTGTTTTTCTTGGTTGAGATCTCCGTTTTAGAACCACTACACAGCTGCACAATTGTAGGCATGTTTCTGTTTTTTCTCTGCTCATTAATACTATTGGGATTGAGATTAGTGCTTAATCCCCTACGGATTTGGGTGATATGGGGACGTGCATCGCACTACTGGATGAAGGGGAAGGGGGAGGGGGATATATTTACCTTGTCACAATCACAATTATCTTCTGAACTCGAGACTGAACAGCTCTTAACCTGGAGAAGTTAAGCTTCATAGTTTCAGGGAGCTCACCCTCTTCCAAACCATGTACCTTACTTACCAACTTTAACAAGCCCAACCTCACCAATATATCAATCTCCTCTCCGTTGCATTCTGAAGTGTGGTCGGCGTTCTCTGTAAACAAGATGCTGTGTTTTTAGTAACAGGATAATACAACCAAATTCAACATCGTTACAGTTACAAACAAGATTTAGGAGGGATGAAATCCCAAGCCAGAAATCAACCTGTCAAACTTGTAGCATAGGAGGGTGAAGAAGACGTGTCAGCTGTATTAGTGCTGCTCATTTTAACTAATAAACTTCCACCAGTTCGAAGAGTGGTGGATGGAAGGAAACTCCGAGATGAATACTCTCGTCTGCTTGTCAACAAGGTGCGAGAAATTTTATGTTCATTCCATTCCTCATCTTTACTACCATTCATAGATGAAAGCCAATTTTCCGTTAAGGGTAGAGAGGTGAAGGCATTAGAAGGATGACCATAATGCTTAGTGAAAGCTTTTCCAAGAAACTCTAAAGCCCCAGGCCCCTTCAAGAAAGGCTCCAAAATTCTTATACGGGCCACACTTATTTCTTGTTTGAGTTCCTGTCACAAAGGGTCAAACTTTGATTGTGAAGGAATACATAGAATGCGGCAAAGACTGGTAAAAATAGATAGCATTGACATCTTTATTATAACTACAATCTCATATTAAATCTCTACATAGATCATTTCCTCCCCGTTTGGCAACCAATAATTGGTCCTCAGTGTTAGCTGGAACCACACCTTCAGTAAATCTACTCAAACAGGAATTCTTCATGAAGCTTTCATAGACAAATCAGCTCTTTTATCGTCTCCATATTAAGCATAAAAGTGCCATACTAAATTGAGGTTCATAAGCATGTCCACAAGAGAGACAAATATAAAATGAACAAGGCAACTCATTCATGAGAGATTAGCACTGGCACTATATGACCTGCACTAAATTGCAATACGACCCTATAAAGCAGCAGAACCAAGCAGTTTCAGAGTGATCTTTCTACATTCAATGGAATGAAAAACCAAGTAAAGAAAGCAGGTAAAATACCTGCATCTGTTCTAGAACAAAACTCAAGCCCTTAATGAATGCAATGACATGTGAATTCTCTGACCCATCACTGGCCCAACATATCTCAGCCAGCTCTTTCAAAAATTTCTGGTGTTTCTCCTTCAATTCATCCTCACAAGCAGGAGCAGAGAGCTTCTGCAAAGTGACCAATGCAAATTCCAGAATCTTCCCCAGGTAATCAATGTCCGCTTTGCCCGAATTCAACACCTAAGAGGGAAAAATTCAAGAGCAATGAACAGCAGATGAGTATGGACATAGCGGTAGCCAGGTAGGAAAAGAAGAAAAAGAAGTACAATTACAGTAAATGGTCACCTCAGTGAGAATGTTCAGATCAATAGCTTCAATAATTTCTTGTCTCCAACTCTTAGGAGCCATTGCAGAAATTTCATCGCTCACCTCCCTTGTCAACTCAACAACACGGCTGTAGTTAGACTTGTCCTTTTTCACGGAATCCATGACACCATCCCAATAAGCCTTCTTTAGAGTCTCTCTAACCTTTGCCTGCACATTAATTGAACAATCAAAAATCAGTAAATACTCAGCCTTCTTGTGAAATGGGGACCGATATATATCTTGGTTGAGTAAAGCCTCACAAAGCACTAAGAAAAAAATTGCATATTGATACTACGAAAACCGTGAACTGACCATGATGTTTTCTTGGCCATCATCAGCAGAATTAGAAGTATCAATAAATGCGAGGTTCTCTCCATGGACACATTCATTCACGATCCTGACATTCTCCAATTCCAACTTCTCACTAGAATATTCGGCTGGGCTACTGCTAGAAGATGGGGAACTAACTTCCTTGGGATTAACTTCATCCCTAAATAAAGACCGCACTACAGGACTTCGCTTCGGAGTATTTTCAGTCAAATCATCTGTTTTATCAGAGCTACCAAGGGCAGCCGGGGAAGCAGAATTCGGGGATAAAATCAGCGTAGATAGTGGGCTGATTGGTATTCCATTCTCCCTTGCCTCAAAGAATTTCATTCGTGTGTCAGAAAGTGCATTTTCCATACGTTTGATACCAGCATCTCCACTGAGGTGTGTCACTTTCTCCCTTAAAAGCTTCTGATCTTCATTGACCTGCATTATTACTCATAGATTAATACATTTCTTCTTACGAAATGTCTTAAATGAAAAAATTAGGGTTAAATATCCCAATGCCCACTAAAGAATCACAAATGTTTCACAATTGTCATTGAACTTTAAAAGTTCTCTCAGTTACCAATGAACATCCCCAAATGTTCCCAATTGCCATTGGACTTTAAAAAAGTACTCTGAGTTTCCATTTAACTAACTAAAATATATTCTATTCGCAACTCCGACACTTGTTATTTTAAAAGTTAACTTGATGTACCAAAATGTTATTCCATTTGTCCTTCCTTCCACCATCATCTAGTCCATTTAACTTTTCAAATGGCGAGTGGCAGATTAGAGAATATTTTGGTATGTCCGGTGGCAACTCAAAGAACTTTTTAAATTCAATGGTGCAACTTGATGATATTTTAAAGTTCAACGGCAATGGAAAATATTTGGAAAAGTTTAATGGTAACCGGAGATATTCAACCTGGAAAAATAGTAATGCACCAAAACAATCATCTTAACTCAAAACAAATAATTTTTTATTATTTCAGCTGGATTATTTTGTTTTGATCATCATCTAGACAAAGAAAAAGTGGCTGGGAGGTAACCTGTTTCTGTATAGCCTTCATATCATGGGCGAGAGAACCACTATCTCCATCAGGAGTCATCTTGCAGGTCTGAATCATAGAGAGTTCTAGCCGACAAGCAGCCTTGACCAGATCATCCTCTAACGACCTGGCATCTTTAACCTTCCANACAACTCTCACTTGGTACCTTGATAATTTAACAGGAGTTTTGGCTGCTTGCCTAATGGCTGTTGTCTTTTTATCCTCTCTACTTGAGACATTTTTCCTAGGAGTTACCCTCCTTTTTGGGGAGGCTACTCGCTTGAGAAGGTGATTGATATCATCAAAACTAGAAGTATTAGGGGCAGATCCAGCCATTCGCGTCAAATTAAAGCGTTTTTCTACTCGGTCAAGTAAAGCTTTGGTTGTACGAAGAGTAGCAGTTGACTGGATAAGAAGTGCAAACTGCTCAAATGGCATTCCCTTCACCGATCCCTCATTAATATTCAGCTGACTATAAGCTCTGGTAAGATGTGCTGTAGTTTTTCTAGCCATCACGAACTTCCTCCAGCACCTGCAGAATTCAATGTTATCCAAGGAATGAGATTAAAAAAATAAATAAAAAAAAGGTTCATCATGCATGACGATATACAGAACAACTTCACGAGTTTTAACAAATTTTGAAGACATTTGGCCTATATTTGGCTCATGTTTATAAACTGTTTATGTAAAGTCAATTCACTTCTAATCCATACATTTTGAGGAACCCACAAGTACTACCCATTTATCCACAACTCATTTTTATCTATACATAATTCAAATTATTATTTATAAACATGCTTTTAGTTTTCACTACACTCCAGGAATCCCATTCATAATAATTGATATCAAACTAAATATCCTGTATCAAACTAAATATCCTGCATGTACCTTGCTAATTTTCTGGAAAGGATGTCAGCCTCCTGCTCTTGCGTAATATTCCACTCATAACAAACAAAATTCTGAGGCTTTCCTCTCTGCTTTAAATATTCTGCTCTCTGTCTCCTTGCCTATTTCACAATAAAATCCAATTGTAAAAATGACAAATAAAGACAAGGCCACCAAGTAAATCTTAACCAACATGGAACTATGAGAATACCCTTTGTAGTCTGTCTTCTAGCTTGTTCTTCATTTCCTTCCTCTCAATTTCTCGTTGGTGAGAAATGGACCTTGCTACCTTCCGCACCTCCAAGACCCTGGCACGTACCCTCCTCTTCTCTGCTTCCAGCAATGCCAGTCGCTTCTTCTCAGCAGCTGCACGCTTTTGACATATTGCAGTGCACACTCGTTCCTTATACTTGCTCTCCTTGGCCATCCTTCGAAGCAATGATTGAGATGTTCTCTCCTTTAATGTGGCCCTCCTTTGCTTATAAGCCTTAAGGATAAGCATTCTATTGGCCTCTGCCTGTTGAACCCGCATTTCAACCTTTGTACTTAACTCAGCTCGTTTCTTTCTGAGGCGCATTTCTGCCTCTATTTTAGCAGCTTGCCGCAATTCATCAAGCTTAGCAAGGCGCATCTGCGCATTTGTCAATATGCTCAACCTGCCAATTCAAAGAACTGAATAAATAAGGCCACACTATCGTTCATATTCAAAGTTCCTACAGCCAGTAAATATATAAACCACCTTCCCAGGGCAGAGCAGTATATCAAGGTGCATATTATCCTAGGGACAGACATGTCACATTAAGGGAGATGATGAAAGTGCAAAGTACTAGTTAATTAAATTTTCATCCATATCGTCATAAAAGGGAATACTTTTGTTGATGAGATCCTCTAGGGTTAGAGCTAATTGTGACCACATAATCGTTCATATTCAAAGTTCCTACAGCTAGTAAATATCTAAGCCATCTGTAGGGGAAGGGCAGTTTATCAAGGTGCTTATTACCCTAGGCACAGACATGTCACATTGAGGAAAATGATGAAAACATAGAGTACCAGTTAATTAAATTTTCATCCATATCCTCATAAAAGGGAGTACTTTTATTGATGAGGAGACGATCTTCAGAGGTTAGAGCTAACTGGAGTGACTAGACCACATTTAGCCCCCATTATTTTTTATTATAATGGGGGGAATAGTGTTTTTATGAAAAATGGATGATCGTAAAAGAATGAAAAGTTTTCGATTTATGTGTATTATTATTTTATTGAAGATTGTGTAGCTGAAGATAGGAGAGAAAAAAATTTAATTTAATTTGATGACATTTAATGGGGGCCAAACCGGGGCTTACTAGACCATGGTGTTACTATATCACATTTATTAACCAAATAAAACAGAGAAAATAACTCCAAATTAAGAGAAAGACAGAGACAAAGACAGATGTTAACGTGCCATACTTTTAACACGCTCAAAAACAGAATTCTTCATTTTACAAAGCAGGGTTTTCTTCTCCTGAGACCACGGGCAGTAGCATAACAGATTTATTCAGACAAACAAAATACATTATACTGAAAATTTTTACATCTCATGAAACATACTTGACAAAGAAAGTCATCAAACAATGACAATTAAGCTATAAGATATCAACTAATAAACGATGAGATAGATCAGTTCGCGAGCAATATGAAATCTCAAGTCCCAGCTAGTTCACATGCATGATATCCACTGCGTTAGCCGCTTTCAGCTATATCAATTCTCTTAAATTGAAATTAAGAGAACAAAAGTTTACCTTTTCTCTTCAGCAGCTTGGAGCTTAGCGTCAAGGCGTTGTCCAAGATCGTCTTCATGAGACGAACATCGCGAGGGGCTTCTAGGCTTTGGCCTAGCCTTGCTGGACAAATTCTCATAAAATTTCTGTAATTTTGTTAAATTTAAATAAAATAGGCCATGTTAAAGTATGTCAGGTGATGAAAACTATATAAATAGGTAGACAACATAAAATACTCCCACCCCCAACCAAAAAATAAAAATAAAAATGGTATAACATATTATTAAACCGAAGTAAAAGAACTTTCACCTCGATGAGAAAACTGAAATTAAATAAATTTTGGTAAATTAAAAAAAAAAGGAAATAAAAGAAAAAATAAAATAGGGAAAAGACGTGTAAATTAACTGCATCCAAATTTCAAACATTAAAAAGGATAAAATTAAAGAAAGTAGCCTGATTCAAGTCAAAGAGTACGGCAAAGTGGAAAATTAATTCGACTACCCAACGCTTACCTAACTCAAGGATGAAGAAACCCAACCCTGAATAGAAACTCAATTAGTTTTCTTCGTGGGTGAGAGAGATAAATAGAAAATCAAAACGTTGAAAAAGAATTGAGAGAAATGGAAAAAGCTGCAAAATCAAGAAACATAAAGAAATTTTTTTCCCCTGATAATCTTTATAAACAATTATAGTTGTACTCTCAAAAAAAAAAAAAAATAAATAAATAAATATTACGAATTCACAAAAAATGGCTACCATAATAGTGTGAGACAAAATAATATTTAATTCCTTTGATGATTATTAAAATAAAAAACTCTAAAAACTCTGTTCATGCAGTATTTTCATAATTATGACGAAATGAAACGATGAAAAAGAGTCAGTATTACAGTAGTAGTTGTTAATTATTTCATGAACGTTAAGATTAACAACTTCTGATCAAAGGCTTAAACTACCTGACGGCGAAGATCAGCGTCCCGAAGCCTGGCTTCGATTTCTTCAACAGTAGACGGCGGCGGCGTCTTGGACTCAGAGAGCCTCCGTCGGAGCCACGACGGCATAGTCGGTGGCGAGCACGACATAGCGCCATCGCTTGCCGGGAACTCCATCGCCACCGCTGACCTCCCCCTCTCCGGAGACTCCATCATTTAACAATTCACACCTTAACCTCGAAAATCAGATGAGTAATCACTATTTATACACAAAAAAGAAAAATTGACAGTACAGACAGTAATCGAAATTAATTCTTTACATGTATTTGTGTCGTTAAATATGAATTTTTATAAAGAAAGAGAGGGACAGAGATTATGGGAATTTGGGGAAGGTTGAAACAATTGAAATGTGTGTTTTTGAGGTGAGTTTTATGGCTTTTCGCATTTATATTTTTTTGTAATGAGAAAGAAAACTCAACAGAAGCGTAACGTTGAGAAGCGTGCGGGAAGGCGTTGGTGTTGTGTAATTAATAATTTACTTGTTCGGTGGAAATTAAGTTTAAATCAATAATAAAATTTATAAATGAGGTTGTTTGAGATCCATTTATCTAAAAAAAAATACATTTTAAAATGAGTAATACTATTCATAATCGTTCACAATGATTGTCGCTCTACGTGATATGCTATATTACAATTTTTGATTTCATATATTAATATGATAGTTTTTTCTTACCTCATATATCAAATTTTTAATGGTCATAGTTGCAACAGTGAGTGACTGTAAATAGCGTTATTTTTTTGAAATAGTGTTATGATGGAGAATGTGTGGTTAAAAAATAAGGAAAAAATTTTAAATTTGCATGTTATATTATTTTATTGAAAAATATATGTTAAAATGATATTAAATTACCGTTGAAAAATGCATTTTGCTATAAAAATGGTGCTTAAACAAGGACTTGATGTTCATAAATTCTTAATCACATATTTCATAACTTTTATTAATATTTACTAAAAATGTGATTTTAATAAAAATATAATTTTAATTTGAGGATTAAAATAAGACTTTTAGTAAATTTTGATAAAAATTGATAAAATGTATGGTTAAATCTAATTGTTAAATTTGATCTTATCTATTTGTTTATTCTAGTTACATGATTGAATTTCAATTTGGTTCGAGGAAATTTATTTATTTGTAATAATTTATCAATCAAGTTAATTTAAGTGAGCCCTGTTTGATGGTTATTATTGTGGAAAAACGATGTTTTGAATGTTATTTTATGGAGAACGTGTAATTAAAACGTGAAAAAAATTATTTGAATTTAGGTGCAAAATATTTTATTATTTGAATATGTGATTTAAAATAGATATAAGAAATATATTATTTTATTTTAAAGGGAATCAAACAAGAGCTGAGTTAGCAGGAACAATGTACATTCAAATAAGCAATTTTGATGTGATTAGCATAAAGCATGAAATTGTACAAAGAGTTTAGGAAAATTTACATCAGCGGTTCCTAACTTTTTCATTTTTTGCAGATTTTATCATCACCTTTATTTTGTACCAAGGAAGGTCCCTAACCTTTTATAAATATACATTTGAGGTCTATTTGGACGGAAACCGTTCAAAACAACGTTAATTGACCAAGAAAATTAAGGAATCAATATTCAATAAAATCGTCCAAAAGGTATCAAAATCCAATAAAAATCATTGCAATAGTAGATAGTTCAAGAAATTTTCCTGATCAACTAACGGTGTTTTGAACGGTCACCGTCCAGATGGATTGCATGTGCATATTTATGAAATGTTAGGGACTGCCACAAATGAAGGTTAGGGTAAAATTTACAAAAAACGAAAAGATTAGGAACCGATGCTGCAATTTTCCCAAGAGTTTTTGTTATATTTGGATTACTCTCAATTTGGATGTAATTGAACAAAAAGTTTATCACAACAATGTCAGATTTCGTGTCACCAAAAATATACATATAACATCACTCTTTTCATTTATTAGTTAGCATAAAAACAATCGAGCCATAACTCATCAATCTTGTTTGTTTTGATTCTAATGTCATGAGCATAGAATTAAATTTGGTCCAATTCTTATTAAAATTAAAATGCTATGCGTGTTATTATCATTATTCTCATCATCAAATCTTCCTTATATTCTATTTTGATATAAAAATTGAAATACAAAATAAAAATATCGGTACAGTAATAATAATATTAGCTAGATGGAGCAATCAAATATTCCCCCTAACTTCATCTTTAATTTATAGGGAAAAAAAATGTGATAATCACACATTAATGCAAATGACACATATTGCTATTAAATAAAGAATTTTATATTGCAAGTTCCATTGACTAATTATTTAGTAGATAAACCTTTCATAGCCATTATTTAATTAAAATAATAGTTTGAATTGTGATTTTCTGAAGAATATATGGTTAAAAAGTAAATAAATAAATTTAAATATAATCTAGCCAAATAATAAAGCAATTGTTTTTGTGGCCACTAAGTAAGGTTATCTTCAAAGTGGATAAGATAAAACTTCTCATTGTGAACAAAAGAACACGAGTGATTAAAAAAAATTATTTCACATGTGCTGATGATACTATTTTTTATTCACCTCATCCTCCTTTGGTGTTCGGTCTCCGATTTCTTTTTCTACTTCCATTATCATCATATTCGTTTCCCATTTTGTGTTACATATCATGTTTTATGTATGTTTTCAAGCGTGATGCACGTGAAGAATTTTCAAATGAAATAAGCGAAAATAGATCATTAGTATCAATATATTAAAAATTGAATATCAAATTATTGAGAAAAAGTAAATGGTTGTAGAATAAACAAAATTTCTTTCTAATACTAACACAATTAATATATTCTTCTTTATAAAAAATAAAAAAAAAAATTTGTTTCACATAAACTGATTAGCTAAACAATGGCTCAAATGCAATAATAGGTAATTTATAATCAAAATTAGCCTTGTTACTCTCAAAATTACAGAACACATACACTCGCTTGTCTTGACGGTTAAGTAAGGCGACTTTTTTCTGACGTCAATTAGAGGCTGCCACGAATCATTCGTAGAATTTCACCACGTGTCCACGGTACCCTGAGGTTGAAATTTAACCATTAAATAGCAATTGTCAATGGTTGTGGCCCACCTTTGAAAAGTAAACCGAATGGTTTGGGGAAATCTTAGGCGGGCCCCAACTGAAAATTTAAAGCGGGCCCCAACTGTCCACAGTATTTGATTTGCATTTTCATTTTTCATTTTCAAAACAAATTTTTTACTCCGAAAAATGGTCCGTTTTTCGCATATTGAGTATTTTCAACATTTATAACTGAAAACGTTGAAAACGATAAAAAGTCATTTTGCGTTTTCAGTTATAAATTTTAACTCGTTTTCGAAAATGCGTTTTTGAAAACAACGGACCAAAACGCGTTTTTGAAAACGGAAAATGGACCAAAAACGGCAAATCAACCACGGTCTAATATTTTTTGCCAAATATTGTGATTAACTTTATACTTTTAAGAAAAGAAATATTTGGGTGTGAATCAAATTTCTTGAATTTAGGATTTTTATCAAAATTATAAAATTGAGGATCAATAGTGCCACCAATCCAAACTAATGTTGGGAAAAAAAAAAGTAATTTGAAAGAGTAATATTTGGAAGAAATGGTTAAAAAAAGGAAAAATTTTGAGTTTACGTATAATATTATTTTATTGAAAAATATATTAAAATAAAAATAGAACCCAAACAAGGCTTAATATAGTTACGATCAATCTTCAACTACTAAAAATGTTTTGAAACAATTTCAAATTATCTTGTAGCTCTCACATCTTCAATTTTCTAAAACTTGGAATTCATTTTTCAATCTTGATTGTTGTCCAAAAATTTTAAGGGAAACATTTTTCACGTGCATTGTTTTATTAAAACTCTAGAAAATTTTCAATTGTTGAGAATTTAATGCAACATTAAAATGCCAGCGATCAACCTGCACCCAATCAATAAGTTGGGTCCAATGGCATTATGTAAAAAAAAAAAAAAAAAGTAATGTTATTTGTAGTTGTTCACTATCATAATCGTTTTATGTAACATAGATGTGGCGATTATTAATTGGATGCATAATGTGGTAGTTTTTTTTTTTTTTTTAAACGTTATTCATTAAATTACTAACCGATATATGTATGTTACGGAAGACGACTGCGATAGGACGACTGCGATAGAACGACTGCAAATAACATTATTTTATATAAAAAGTTAATAATAAGCATAGAAGATATAATAATAATAATAATAATAATATTTACTTGAAAATTAAATACAAAAAAATTGCAGACATATTCAGGTATCCACCTTACAGTGACTAAATCCTGGAGTCTACACCTTGGCCCCTCAAGCTACAGACAGGTTAAATCGCAGGTTGTGCCCCAAATTGACCAGTGCTCAAGAGCCCGCCCAACTGATCTGCCAAAGTGTCAAGCAAGTCGTTTTCTTATCTATGCACCTTGCCTTCCAGTAGAGCTCCTGCCTTCCAGGAGAATATCTGCCTTCCAAGAGCCTTCTAAGAATTGAACTCACGACCTCTGATCTGCCAGTCTTGAAACGTCCTTATCTTTGTCAGTTGGAATGTGCCTTGGGGTCGCTTTTTCAGCTAATAAATTTATTTATTTATTTATTTTATTTTTTTTATGGATAGAAGGGAATCCAAAGTCTAAAACTATGCATCGTGTATAATATTATAATAATTTGAGGTAATGCTCATCTTTGTACGTCTCTGTCTAAATCATTATGCTGGCAATTTGTTTATTATTATAGGTCCATCCAAGTGTTCTTTCCAGAATTTGCTTGTATAATGCACGTGTTCAATATAACTTCTATAATGCAATTTTGGTGTACGTTTCAATTAAATTATAGGTTAGTTCTTAGAGGTTCTGTATTTGGTTGTAATTTGGTCCATGTTAAATATAGATAGGAATGGGCAGTTGGAATTAGGAAAGCTTTTCTCATTGTTTCTCCATTTTAGAAAATATCGAATGCATCGATGTTTAAATGTACGAACTAAGTCATTTTACTTGACTACTTTTAATTCGGCTTGGCTCGGCCCATCAGTCATAGCTCACCTGATTTTTACGAATTGTTCACGAGTTGACTTGTGTGATTAACTAGAGCATACACAAATGATTCAGTTCGGCTCACGCCCACAAATATCCCAAGTCAAGCCAGATCATCTTGTTTGTGGGGACGAGGACGAGTCGAACTTACGAGTGACTCGCCCTACTTAACCTCTCTAATCTAATCAAATAGGATTAAAATGATCAACTTGACTGGTTAAGAGTATTAAAACTTCTAACTATATTATTAAATTTTGAATTTGATTTTATAAGAATAAGTAAACGCTAAGATTAGTTGGTTATTTGGCTTGAAGATCAATTGTATAGGAGTATTTATCATC